TTATTTTCATAGTAAAGAATGACATGAAGGGTGAAAAAATAACCAAATGCACGAATAAAAAGAAAAAGAAAAATGACAGCTTAATGTCAAAGGAACAAATTATTTTTAACGAAACAGTGTTATATTCTAGACAATAAGGACGGGTATAATGAATATATTACATAGGACAACGAGTATATATTCGAAGGTTTGTGAAAACAAATAGATATGTTTATATAATCTCTACCAGACTGACATTAAGCAAATATAGGTTTGGACTTTTGCCAAAGGTCTAAAATAAGTAACAACAAAACTGGATTTAATGTGTAAAACTTTCATTAAGAACAACATTGCTGACATAAATAACGTTGCCACGAATAAATAATACGCTGCCAACAAGTTTTGTTTACTTCATTCTACTGTAAGCTAAGTAGCACGTAAATGAAAAAGACATTCACTAAAACGTTTTGTCAAGTATTTTACCTATCGATGTCAATATTCCTTAAAATCGTTGGTTGTTGTCGAAGATGCCTACACACATTTACTTTACAAAAGCTGAAAGAAGATTGTTAAAATTGTTTTATATCATTTTTTCTAAAGTATCAAAATGCATATTACTTTCACGCATCTTTTGTTCTTCTTTCTATTATCTTTTTGTTTTGTATAAGACACATACAACGGCTAATATGAGTGTTAAAGAATTAGGTCTTTTTAGGTCAGGCGGAATCTATTTAAAGTAAAGTGTCAGGTGAACAAATAATGATCTTTTAGCTAAAACATTAGATATTGATCATATCAGTGCGTGCTACCAGTTATATTTACCCTCCAATTTTCCAACTTGTGTTATTTTTTCTATTTTTTATATTAACTATCATGATTCCGTTGTAAATAATGGATGACTTTGGCAGATGTCACAAAAGCAACATCATTCCCATCGGCGTAATGGTATTTGGATATATATGGATATATGCCTTTGTTTATATCAGACATGTTTTAATGTGATTCATTCAATCACTCTTGAAATACGACCGACCTCAAAATATATACAGTTTTAAAACAGCTCCACAATTTTAGCAGTAAGTTTCACAACCGTCTGAACAAAAGATCAGCCATGGTTTGGTATCACAAATATTTTTTAAGTGAATTCTTATTGTTTACTTATTGTTTACTTGCTATTTATATTGAATCCTTACCCGGAACGTACATTCTAATATGACAATACAATCATGTTTCGTTAAAGCATACCCTTGTATTACAATATTAAGACTCAGGTGTCTGCGAATTATTGTAAACTATTATATATAGCCTAGACACCATGTATTTCATAATGCCATCGTTCATGAACAGTCAGTATTTTGATTTGACGTATCAATAATTAAACTTCGTTTTTTTTGTAATTATTATGAAATTTTAAATATTATTAGCGATTCATGTCGCTTTTTGTGAGTATTAAGATACTGTTAAGCAGTACCTTGTAACGATACATAAAAAGTGATTTTAATGATTCTACTAGTTTATCGAACACTAGTCGCATATCACGAAAAATAGTAAATCAAATGTATTTAAAGAACATGTTTATAAAACATAATACTATATTTATTTTTGCCGTTCAGTTATAATGTTTATTATCTTCGTTTTCAAATAAAGCCTATGAACTTCCTTTATCTTAATTAACAATGTAATATCTTTCTTTTTCATAATTCTTTCTAAATGTAAGACAACGGTTTGTTATTATCTAACAAGTCTTTAAAAGCGGTCATTGAAAACACATTCATCATCATTCCAGTAAGTTCAAGAAGTAATATTTTGATTATTTGCAGAACATTAACCGAAATGTTTGTAAAAGAAGAAAATGATTTCTGCTGTTCCTTAGAAATAACATGACGGATTTACTTGCAAAGCTTTTAGTTATTTTCTAAGATGTATGCTTAGTATACAACAGTGTACGACTTAAAACAAACTAATCTTCTTAACGCCTAATAACAAAGTGTATACTTTCTATGTTGCTGTATAGTTTTACTTTTATATCATGATTGTCATTTTCCTTGATGATGATTGGACATGTGGAAATGCAGATATGTTAACAGCATTTAGATAGTCCAGTTGTAATTTTAAGTGAAATTGAAATATAAAGGCGCGAATAACGATAACTTTATCCAAGGTATTGTAAACCATAGATAGATGCATGTACATACAAAACACTGTTAACGAAGCAAAGAAAATAAATAAAAAGAAATGTAGCATGTAGGATAAAACCATCATCCTTTCCTCTCCACTTATTTAAAATGAACCTGATATTTACTTGATGTCATTTATATAATTATGACCTTTGACAATAATTCGACACATTCGTATTCACTAAACGCGCTATACATTTAAATTTAAGGTGAAGTTAACAAAATATATTATTAACATGTTTCCGTCTTACATGTTGACAGACTGAATAATTAATATTTCTCACAAAAAGGAACGATTGATAGCATGGCAAAAAATGGAATTCATTACATTATTAGTAATTAAAATAAAAATATTATAATGATCTTGTTTTTAAAATATTATTTTCATATATAACACACATTAGAATGTACAGGATGTAGTTACTTTGTAATGAGTGTAAGTTTGTAGTATTGCGATTTCTTTTATAAATTCTAGGAAAAAAATCAAGATGCATGATGTGTGTTCTCTGATTTTACGTTTACTCATGAACTGGCAGTTTTTGATGTCTCGTCAAGAATTTGATATATTTAGATAGTTTAGATATTTGCTAGAATATTTCTTTCTTTTGTAAATTTATAAATTAGTCGTTTATTATTTGCTTTATTATTTTCTCATTCGCACTTTAGTCTAAGCAATACAATTTAACCTTGAACCTCAATACAGGATGATATTGAAATTTTGCAGACGTATTATCTTTAATAATTTGAGACGTACTTGGAAGACAGCTATTTATGTTGAAGGTAAAAACATACTTTGCATTTCAAAAGTTTATCAACTGATAAAAGCTTTACATATAAAAGTACATATAAAAGTAACTAAATGCCCACCCAAGGGAAAATGGTAACTGAGCATTTAAAAGTCAATTTAAGATAAAATTTTGCCATGATTCGTCTCAACTTTATTATTTCATTCAAATATAGCCAAATTGAGAACTTTGTTTTTAACATTTGATAATCTCATATATCTTAAAAGCAGTGTTTATTTTGTATTGCCTATTTTGTTAAGAACACTATACTTACTTTAGTTTTAACTTGAAATTAATTATGTTTAGTGTTACATGGTATAAGTTAATGTCCCTTAAACACGACATACTTGTCACTTCTCAAACTTCATTCCCTTAAAGGATTAAATGATTTAATGTTATTCAAAAAGTTTAATGAGTGTTTTGTGGTTTGGTAATTAACAGAAACTAGCACCACTTTAATTTATGAAACACCTAAAATCAGATATTATTTCAATCGGAAATACTCAGATTTCTATATGGGTTTCTTACATATGTTTTTAACTTAGTGGCTTATCTTTTGTATTACTAAGGGTTTTCGACTGTCTTGTTGGGGTACGTCAAGGAGAAAACATGTCTCCTTTTCTATTTTCAGTTTTCTTGAATGACCTTGAAAGTTATATTAATAGAGGTGGTGTAAATGGAGTTTCTAGAGAAGCTTTTGTTGAAGGGGTGCGGTTTTATTTGAAACTATTTATTTTACTTTACGCTGACAACACCGTCATATTCAGTGATAATGAAAAAGATCTTAAAATTGCCTTAAATAAATTCAAAGAATACTGCGATCAATGGAAATTAAACATTAATGTAAACAAAACAAAAATTATGATTTTCAGTAAAGGCCGTTCTAAAAGTTGTTACGTGTTTACAATACGAGAAAACGTTCTTGCAGTTGTAAATGAGTACAAATATTTAGGTATATACATTAATAAAAGTGGCTCTTTTTATAAATCTAAAAAATTGCAGATCAAGCAAATAAAGCTATGTTTGCATTGTTAAGGAAACTTAAATTGTTAGCTTTACCATTTGATTTACAAATTGAACTATTTGAAAAGACAATCAAACCAATTTAATTATATGGAAGTGAAATTCGGGGATTTGGCGATGTTTCTGTTTTCGAAAAAGTTCAACTGAAGTTTTACAAATATATTTTTAATTTAAAAAGTCTACACAGTCTTATATGGGCGCCGTCGTGACATTTTGTACTTCGGACAAGTTTTTCAAACACCGGTTAAAAGTCCGCGAAATTGTTCACAGTTTATGTCGGCTTTTCAAGTACCTTGTTGCCGCTAGATCATGAATTTCCGTGTTTTGTAGGCGGAATTTAGACACCATGTCTGAGAAGAATGATTTTCAGGTATTTTTGTATCTTTATATGACTTAAAAAACAAAAAATACAAAGATTTAAAGTGCAAAACTAGATTTTTTTTTACTTTTTTAAGATGTTGCGTCTGCTGTCAAATTTGACAGATGATTTGAGCGCTTCAGTTAAAAAATGAGTTTATTTATGGTGAAATCATGTTTTTATTCGTCAACTTGCATCCTGCATGTAATATATAGAGCAAAGTATTTAGCAGTTTAAGTTTACGATGCGAATTTTATCGAATAATCCCGATTTTCAGTGGTTTTACTTCATAGCAACAGTATATACAAAGGAATTGCCTCCCTTCATAACATAGTTACAGACCAAGAGTAATCGTTCATGTTATCGATCGATTTACTCTACTATAGAAATATAACTACACTTTATACACAACGTCTCTGCAGCGCAGTCGGGAGAGTGAAGGACTGACAAATCAGAGGACCGAAGTTCGAAACCTTGCCTCACCTTTTTTTTTTTTTTTTTAATTTTCTTTTTGGTATGCATACAGTAAATAAATTTAAATTGTACCTGTAACAGTGCTTCATAGATATTTTGTAAGAAGGGAAGAAATATTTTAAGGTATAGATATATTACCACATTTACTATCGTACCCGAGTTATTTTTACTGGATAACTGGGACAACATATAATATCATTTTATATTTCATTCTAGATTATATCGATCATAACTATCATCGGTCATACAATTTTATCAATAGATTATTATAATTATTTTTTTTACTTTATTTAAACGCAGGATTTAGATGAGTTATATGAGGAATTTGGCATTGTTAATGAGACAGTCGAGAAGGGGCCACATGCACATGTAACAGAGGACGAATTAAATGGAGAGTGGGGAGACGATGATGACGACCAACATGCAGAGTCAATCATAGGGCGTGTCCATGAGTTTGTCTACAGTGCTGCAGAGGACATTCCGGAAGGATCAGATGAGGAGAGGGGCGAGGGCGGTTTAGAATCAGAGTCAGACGATAATGCTGTCACAAGTGTACAATGTAAGTGTAAAACCAATTGTTTGTCGCAGTTTGATGCTGAACACATTCAAGGGCATATATTGTCTCTCAGGGAAATGGAGAAAGACCAAAAGGAGATGTTTGTTATGGGAAGTCTGTTGAAAATAGGTGCACAGGAAACCAGGAAAGGTAAACGTAAACGAGTTAGATATAGATATACATTTGATGGCAAAACTGTCTGTAAATCTGTGTTCTGCCACATTAATGATATTGGGCAGAGAACTGTTAAATCTTTACTGAAACATTTAAATTCAAATGGACCGGTGCCGCGAATACATGGGAATACCGGGAGAAAGCCAAGCCATGCAGTTAAGTACGAGGACGTGCGTTTCTGTGTTGATTTCCTGTTATTATATGCAGAAATCAACGGGTTAACAATGCCAGCAGCACCACGCGGAGCAGACGAGGCTGCGCCTATACTGTTACCATGTAATACTACGAAAGTGGATTTACATTCAAAATACCAACAAGCATGTATAGAAGCCGGCGTCAGAGTTCTTGGAATAACTACATTTAAATGTGTTTGGAAGCAATGCCTTCCACACATTAAGATAATGACGGCAAAAGATGACGTTTGTCATAAGTGCGAGATGATAAGGAAAAGGGTGGCTGATGCTATACATGAGATGGACAAACTTGAGGCAGCAAACGCTTTACGAGAACATATACAGGTAATATCAATTATATCATACTGACTTCCATCTACAGATACGCTAATCCGTTCTAAAATTTAAAATCCGTTCGACAGCGGAATTTAATCTGATTTGACTTTAACACCTATGACGCTTAATTAATCAAAACAAGTCTGCAATTTTCATGTCATTTTGTTGTTATTAATGCTTTCAATGATCACCTGTTTCCAAATGTTTATTAGTAACACTGATTTTTCCTTGCAAGTTCTTGCGGTAATTATTTGCCTCCGTAATGGAACCATACTTTTGAAATTATTGACATATCAATTGAATTATAGTTTGATACATGTGAAACCAAATTTGCTATCAATAATTTAACATTTATTAAGTTATATTTGTGTTTACTAGCATTACGTGTTTATAGATATTTTATTGTAAGGTTAATAATTATAGAGTTGGAGTGATTTGTTTATATTTTTTGTTTATTTACACAAACTATGTAGGATGCACAGAGAGAGCGACAGGTTTATAGACAGACAATAAAAGAGGCTCGTGAGGAAATGAGGCACACATCAGTCACATTCAATCGACCTGCCCAGCCATGCACTAGTGATTTAACAAAAGTGCACTACACATTCGACTATTCTCAAAATGTGACTATACCACACCATAGTCAACAAATGGGCCCTTTGTATTTTGTTACTGGCAGGAAAATACAATTTTTTGGCGTCCGTGTTGATTCAGTGTCACAACAATATAATTACCTTATAGACGAGGATGAATCAATTGGTATGTTAAGAATAAATAAATAAATAAATAAATAAATAAGTAAATAAAAAGTAAATAAATTTTGATTTTTTTCTATAATACAGATATTTGCTTTTCAGTATTGTAAAAATATTAATTTCATATAAACATATAATAAATAAAATGTCATTTTAAATGTGTGCTGTCGAAATATGAAATATACTTATAATTAATGTTAAATTAACAGGTGTTGATGGTACAGGAACCCACGGGCCAAACTCAGTTATAAGTATGCTACATCACTGCCTCGAAAACCAGGGATTTGGAGAGAAAGCTTGCGTCATGCACGCCGACAACTGTGGTTGTGAGTATTTTCCCGTAAATGTCTTTTTAATTAAATAATAGTATAGCATTGAACATTCTGTTTTATATTCAAAATGCTACATTTACAAAGCATAATTTTTAAGTTTTAGTTTAAATGGTGAAGTAAAAATATATTAATTTTTTATTACAGCGCAGAATAAAAATCGCTTTATGTTAGCGTATCTGGCATGGCGAATTCATATGGGGCTCCATGATGAGATAACACTCCTGATGGGAATTCCTGGTCACACAAAGTAATTTATGTTTTTAATTTATATTTTATTTTATACTCGTATAATGCGAACTTATGTATTTTAGTTTATGACAGTCCTCTACAATAATTCTGGTCTGCACAAAACGAGCATTTGCTATTTTTATGTGTTTAAACATGTATGTGCTTGCACACCAGCGGGCGTGTTTTATGCATGCCATAGAGACAATCTGGCCATTAGATTAAAACTAAAACACTGTCGAACAAATCGATTATTCCAGAACAAATCTACTTGCAATCATTAAGTTCCTATAGAAATAAAAATAAAATCAACATTAACTATAAATAAGCAATTTTTTATTTATTTTTTATTCGATTCCAGGTGTCTTGTGGATGGTGGATTTGGACATATCAAGAAGTTGTATAGACGCACGGACTGGACAGTATTTCGCAGGTGGCATCTGTCGTGGGAAAGTCTGCTTCAAGCAATTTCCCCGTGCTCTTCCGCAAGGAGGATGGATGTCAGAATTGGACTTGGTATTCTATTACAAATATTTGAATTTCTAAAATTTACACCCAATTTAAATAAGTTTGTACAATAAAACAACAAAACAAATTAATAGAGAGCTTAATTCGGCTTCGGCATAAATGCTGTCATATTACTTGTACGTGTATTAATACTTGCTTGTCATTGTAAAATATCAAGTAATTTATGACTGACATATTATTAACTAAGTCAACATATATTACAGGTATGACTGGAAGACATTTCTGCCGCGTTTCTTTTTACCATTACGGGGTGTACAGCGCTATCACGCTTTCCGTATTACGAAGGGATGCTATATACGTGAAAGAGCGCTTCGAATGACGTAGAGCAGCGGGTCACAATCCTGAAGAGAAATGCTACATACCAGAAGATATTCTCCCTGCAGTTTTGCTACCGGGTGGACTTTCCCGCGCAAGGCCCAGCAATATCTGTACAAGAATGTACGACCTTTTGTACGTCAGGCGTACCGTGATGTGACGTGCCCACCGTTACGGGAAGAATGACAATTTAGATTTGAATGTACAAATGTATACATGCATTATCTTTGTCTGTATGTTTAGTCCTTAGATTTGTTATCAATAAACTAGATATCATTTGATATAAGAATGATGTATATATTGCAAGTTTTTAAAAATTCGTTAATAATAAATTAACCAATATACTGGGCACATTAGTGCTGATCAGTTTATGTGATTTCTTATGTTATCTTTTCATATTTATGAATTTGAAGTTTGTAACTTCATAGGACTGTAAAATAAATTCACTTGGAGTTACTGTCTTTATTGATTCTTACAAAATCTATTTTTAAAACAAAGCAATTCAGCAATGAACCACGACGTTCTTTAAAACGTTCAACGTTTAAACAAACGTCGTCGTCGACGTCGAAGCATCACATTGGTCTATGTACATAAAAATATATATCTTTGACATTTTTCAAGATTTTTTCGTCAAATAAAAAGTAAAATCATCTGTAATAATTGGTTTCTATGAAAATTATGAAACCAAAAAGTCGAAGAAAATTGCCCGAAGGGTCATTTTGTCATGACGGCGCCCATATGGTGTACGGAGAGACAGGCATTTTTCCTTTAAAAATTCATATTAAACATAGGGTTGTACCATACTGGACAATACTTATTGATAATATAAATAGTAATGAAACAAAAAACTATCATCTAAGTTGTATATTGTTTTAAAGGAACTAAAAAATAATAATTTAGTTAAGTCACTCTGGATAGAAAATGTTAAACAATATTTATGTGAGACAGTTTTTTCTGGAATATGGTATGCTCAATGTTTTAGCAGTAGTAAACGGCTTATTGAAGCAAACTTTCAAAAGTTAAAAGATATCTATATTCAAAGCTTGAGAGCTGAAATTAACAATACGCCAGACTCAAATTAGTATAAATATATTAAAGATAACTTTTGTAGAAGCGCGTACATAGACACATTATCTCTGTATTTCGGTAGGAATTTTTTATGTTTTTAACAAGGAACCATCGACTTCCAATTGAAACGGGACGTTGGCAAAACATACCCGTAAACGATCGTAAATGCACTCTTTGTAGAGATTTAGGAGATGAATTTTATTACATTTTTAAATGTCCAATATTTGAAAACGAAAGAAGAAAATATATAGATAATTTTTACCGACAAAGACCAAGTATGTTTAAATTCATAGAATTATTAAACTGTAAAAATATGAAGAAATTAGAAAATTTAAGTATCTGTTGTAATAAAATTATTCAATATTTTGTTTTTTCTTGATTATTCTCTATGTTACATATATTGTCTATGTAATGTACACTGTAGATTAAGGTATTGGTAGATGAAACATGTCAACATACTTATATACCATGCATATGTATTAGATCTTAATGATTTCTGTTTAAAAACAGTATATTCTATAACTTATATTCACATAGTTCACATACTTAGGATATTTATAAAAGGTTCAGTGAAACTTATATGTCACATTGTGAAACATTAAAATACTACATTTCTAGAAATTTTAGAATACTTACTACTCTTCTGAAATGACATAACTGACAAAAATGCTCTTTATGCTGCAAATATATTGCATTATTTTCCTTTTCTTGTGTTTTATGAAAGAGTTAAACTTATATTGTTAAATATACAAATCATTATATATTGAGTAAAGCATATAAATATATTTATTTATTTGACATTTGAATTATTTAAAAGAAAATTTGTTTCTTTGTTATACATACTTCATATAAGTCTCTCTCTTTCATAAAAATGATGAAATTATGCAACATGTAATCACCTTTGTTGAAATTTGAAAAGTAGAATATCTTAAGATATTTGAATTACTATGTCTTCTCGGCTATATATATATAATATATATAATTTCACACTATTACAATAAGTATTAAAGTACGATCTTTATGATATAAGTACGTTGCGCACATTTTTTTCTCATACATACAAATCTAAGATTCAAATATGAAACTTTCTGTTTAATTACAAACAATTGATACTGAAATGAATGTTAAATTGTTAGAACCTGAATATAACCTGGATATCTTTCGTGTTGTTGTTTTTTTCAATACGCTTTCGTTTTATTTTGAAATGTGTAAACATTCTATTTGATCCATTAATCATACTAAATATGTTAACTTAATATATATTTCTTCTCACCAAATTGTAACTATATATTACTATTATCCTAAGAATGTAATATAGCCGTTTTCCATTATGTTTTGTATATGTTTATGAATGTATACTGCTGATGTTTCCCGCTATTGTGGGACTTGTGCATTTTGTAAATAAATTGAAATTGAATTGAAAAATACGTGTTTCTTGTATATTACTTTCATTTCATATAGTGTTTGTTTTGTACAGCCGTAAGATGTAAGCCTGTAATCATAAAGCGATCAATTTGTGATAATTAACAAATACATATTTTAAGATAACAGTTTATGTTGGTATCACTTTTATTCATCAACATGTTTTAAAAGTAATGCCTATATAAATGTATCAGACAATTGTATGATATCTGTTTACGTTAGTACATTTCATTTCTCATTAAACGAAATTCCAATTGAATTATTGACCTAAATCCTTAAAAAGTTAGCACAGACTTGATAAAACATTATAACCTACTTATTTAGCTAATGATTCTTTCTTGTTTCAACATGATTTATTTACGGTAACGCGTACATGTCGATGTAGTTCATTAGCGGTTTTAACAATTCTTTGCTACTGTCACGGACTTTACATGGAATGCATATTTGAATGATATGTCAAACAAATACTATTAATTTTTAGTTCTCATAAAAAAGAAACAAACACAAAGACATAAAACAGTATTTCGAGATTATAACGATCCTATCTGATATATTGCAAAAAAATATGACTGAAAATATCATTTGCTTCATTTCGAAAAATATCTTTATTGAAACTGGTTTCTTTGAACAATGAATAATCAATTACAGGGCTTCTAAATAAAATATTAATTGTTATGGTACTCGCCTGAGCTTGGTACTCGCCTGAGCTTGAGAAAAAATCATGCACAGTTAAAATACTTCTTTGAATTGTTATATTTTGAAATACATTAAATGTATTAAATCGAATAAATAGTAATATTTCAAAAACTCCGTGATCTCATTTTTTTTATGATTTCTTTACAGTCATGATATGTTTGATTATTGTTATACATCGTGTTGATTCGTATTGTTGTTGTTTCTGAAACATTACACGATTGATATGGACACTGGGGGAATTAGAGTCTTTAGAGAATCATTAAGTAGTACTAATCAAATTGATTACTATGGAAATGACATTTGATGATATGAAAAGCACAAGTTCTCACCTCTCTTCTATAATAAATAAAAACATCATGTAATGTGATATAATTAAGTGCCCTTTGATAACGCTGATGATTTTAACTCTAATCTTCCTTTAAGTTAATTCTGACAAGGACTTCTCTTTCATTTATGACCTGTTCATTTCATTACTTTACATTACTTTACAATTTATAGATTACAATTAAATAGACTATTAAGATGGCCAGCAAACGGTAGTTTTTTTTCTTATTGCATTGCTATGTTTTAGGCTCTTTGAAAGTTTGAACTATGAATCAGTCTTTTGAAATGACCCAGTTTAAATTTTAAGAACAAAATACTTTATAAATTGTTTGAGTTACACTTTACTATGCATAAATGTATAATTTAGAATTGTGTATTTGTCAATGCGGTGATATCTATCACGCTACACGTAAAAGAATAAAAAATGATCAATCAACACAATAAATTCGGTCGGTTCATATATTGGAAGTTTTCCAGAATAAATTTCATAAAAGCAAAGAAATATGTATAGTATATCTCAGACTGGGAGTTAGTTATAACATTAAATATTTATGAAAAAACATTTCTATATTTGAAAATGTGTTAAAGATTAACCAATACAACATCATCATCCATGTATTGGCTAAATCACTTCGTTGTCCAATATTGAGACGTTTAGCTAACCAAAAATAGATGCCGTCTTCACAGAAAGACATAATATAATCAATTGAAAAAGTATTAACTGTTGTTTGATTAAATAATGAATACATTTTATAGTAAAAATAAAACACAAAGCAGCTGTATGGGTGTAAATTATAATTTAATCATCATTACGAAATAATGCATGCAACACAACTCGAAAGTTCTTGCTAGGTACAGTTGCATCCTA